ACCAAGGAAGGAGGATCATCAGCTCGTCGGCGCATCGTGATCAAAGCATCTAACCAGATTATTCACTTGGGATCGAGAAACCTTAACCCATCCTAGCCGAATTCCTTTCCCTCCCTCGGAAAATCGGCCCCTTCCTTATTTCAAAACCCTTTCTACCCTTCAGACCCCATTCTCAATCCCATGTTTTAACGATTCCATACAAGTGGCAACCTCACAACCTAAGTTGCAACCTTGAAAACTCGATCCTAATTCCTGAATTCACCGTGTCCTCAAGTTTGAAACCCACTCTCTTAGCCCTGTAAACCTAATCGTTCCCAAAAACCCAACACACATAGGCGTGCAAGTATACAATTTCCCCGTGGAATACCTTCTCAATAGGACCACGGTTCTTCTCTTGACTCGTTAACACTGCAATGATTTCCAAGCTTCGGGGACGAAGCTTCTCGTAAGGGGGGGAGAGTTTAACACCTCGTGTAACGGCCTTCAATCCCGAATTAATTATTTAATTAATCCCGTTAATAATAATTAAATACGATTTAATTATGTTAGGTTTACCTTTAATTAATTAGTAAGGTACACCATGAACCGTGGACCCTTGCCCGAATAAGAATCTTAAGCCTGTTAGGAATAAAGGAAGTAGGCCTTTTACTATTCAGATTATGATTAGGATCCTCTTTAATTAATATGATCCACTATGGACCATGGACCCTTATCCCTAAAACAAGCCCTAGCCCTATAAGGAATAGAATTAGTAAACCCATACCATTCAGGCCCTAACTAGGAGTCTTAAATATATAAATAGGGAACTTAGGAGGCACCTAGAATCCCCACCACAATAATCTCTCACCACCCAAAGAGTTCCAAGAATCCCCTTAGAAGAAATCAAGAAATCAAGAAAGCTTAAAGAAAGATCCTTCATAGCCAAGGAATTAATTAAGGCTAAGAGGTAACCCATGTCTCAACAAAACCTATTTTCATAGCTATGATTCCCCCTTAGGGTTTCCCCCATATTATTGTGTATTGGCGAGATATGATGATGATTATTGATGTTTGACGTGATGATCCCATGAGGGATCTTGATAATCTTGATATTGGGAGATTCTTGATGATTATATGGAGTTCTTGATGATTATGTGTTGATCTTGATAATTGTGTGATGCTCTTGATGTTTATGTGTTATTCTTACCGAATCTTGCAATTAGAAGACGAACCGTATTCTTGTTGATATAAAAGTGATTAGAACCCTAGGTTGTATCGTATGATCTTATTCTTGGATTATCGGGTGGGGAAATCGCATGTTTGGGATGTTGATTATATTTAGAAAAGCATGATAGGTTATGTGCCGTTCATTTCTTGTATTTGATTCGTTAATTGTTTACGTGTTGTCGTTAATTGCGTTGTAAAGTGTCTAAGCATGGTTTCGGGTTCCACAACGGTTCCCGGGGCGTAAAGTGTGTGAAAAGATTCAGTGGGGGGTAGGGGACCCGCCACCTACCCACGGCCGTGAAACACCGCCCGGCAGCGGGTAGCCGGCGGGCGGGCAGCTGCCCGCCGGCGACCCGCTGCCCGGAACAGTAATTCCCGCGGGCAGCCGGCGGGTGGCCCCCCACCCACCGGCTACCCGCTGGAAATTTCCCCAATTCGGGATCCCGGCTTCCCCGTTTGATGTTCCCCCGATCCCCGTGGTGTCCCAACGGACTCCGTTCATCGTGCCTATGTCTAGTTTGATATTTCGGGTGCCGTTCGTAGGTTTACGAGTCTATTATATTGCATGCTAGTTGAATTGGTATCCCGTTGACCTAGGTGGTAGAAGTATGAACCCCTTAGGACTATTCCTAGTATGTGATGAGTCACGCATAGGTTTTGTTATACGTTTTCTCCCCCTTCCCAATGTGTAATGTGGGTTGCATGTGCTTGCAATGTGTTATGTGTGTGTGTTACCCCAATTCGGTTGCGATCGGATTGGTTATCCTGAGCTGCGGTTCAGAAGCTGGCTGCGGTCAGATTGATACTCTTGGGCTGCGGTCCACCGTTTGGTTGCGATCAAACGTTTCTATACGAGCTGCGGTTCGTCCTTTTTCCTGGCTGCGGTCAGATGACATTCTCTTGGGCTGCGGTCCACTATTTGGTTGCGATCAAACACTATGATGAGCTGCGGTTCATCGGTCGGTTGCGATCGACCCCTCCGTGCTGCGATACGGGGCAGGGTGCTGCGGGGCCGTGTCAGAGCTATATGCGCTGACCCTCATGTATGGGCATGCGATTGGTCCTGTGGCGCCAACAAAGTGTGTTATGTGTTGTGACATGGACGAGTTGTGATTACGAGTGTCTTGGGGGATGTGACTATGGGATTTATATTGGGGATTGTTCATGTTGGGTTATGATCATTGTTTATGCTTTGCCTTATCTGCCTTATCTGTTGTAAACTGCATATGCTCGTTATAACTGTTGCTTGTGTCTGGCCTTATCTGTCGAGTCATTTCCCGTTTTAAAGCTAGAGTTCGTAGGATATATCTTCATGCTCAAAATGGTTTTCGTATATCTATATATATCTCTATATGTATTGTATTTCAACGCGTTGGAGTGGGTTACCAGCATCTCTCGCTGAACAGATATATTTGGCTTTCAGGCACAGAAGATTAAGTCACTGGAGTGCGCTAGAACTTAGAAGTAGATAGTTTCCCTTTTGGCCTGCGTGCCGCGTTTACGTATTTACGCTTTGAGGATATTAGTTAGTTAGCCTGTGCACTTGGGTTCTCTAGCCCAGGTGTGGCATAGCTCCCCGAATGCTTGTATTTATATCTTGGGATTTAATAAGATTCTACCTTTATTATAAGTTTTAAATGTCTTGAAAATCTGGGGTGTTACACACCGCGCGTCTTAAGGTTCCTAAGTCCTATGTTCCTAAATACTTAAAGTTCAAGCCTATTGTCTCAAAGTCTAGTCTTAAGAGTCTTATCCTAGGGTCAAACTTAGGCTCTGATACCAACTGTAACACCCCAAAATTTTAAAACTTTTGAAACTTATATAATAAAGGTAAGTTCTCATTAAATCCCAAAACATAATATAAATAGTACAGGGTGTTATGCCACACCTGAGCTAGAGAACTCCGGTGCACAGGCTAACTAACTAATATCCTCAATAATGTAAATGCATAAGCATGGCACGCAGGCCGAAAGGGAAGCTATCTACTTCTACGCTCCAAGATTCTAGCGCGCTCCAGTGTCTACTCCTCTGTGCCTGAAAGCCAAATATATCTGTTCAGCGAGAGATGCTGGTAACCCACTCCAACGCGTTGAAATACAATACATATAGTCATATATATAGATATAAGGAAAACCATTTTGAAGCATGAAGATATATCCTAAGAGACTCTAGCTTTTAAAACGAGGAATAGACTCGACAGATAGGGATAAGCACAGTCAACAGTTATACAATTCACAAGCATAGAGAGACAGACTCGACAGATAGAGATAAGCACAGCCAATAGTCATAACCAAGCATATACGGTTTACTAGCATGTATCCTATGGTCACGTTTTCATAACATTCGTAACGTCAAACCATCCATATCTCATCACATAGCACACTTTGTTGGCGCCACAGGACCAATCGCATGCCCATACATGAGGGTCAGTGCATATAGCTCTGACACGGCCCTGCAGCACCCTGCCCCGTATCGCAACACGGAGGGGTCGATCTCAACCGACCGATGAACCGCAGCTCATCATAATGTTTGATCGCAACCAAACAATGGACCGCAGCCCAAGAGTAGTCATCTGACCGCAGCCAGGAATATGAACCGCAGCTCATGTAAAACGTATGATCGCAACCAAACGGTGGACCGCAGCCCGAGAGTGTAAATCTGACCGCAACCAGCTTCTGAACCGCAGCTCAGGAATAACCAATTTGATCGCAACTAAATTGGGGTATCACACATAACACATAGCAAACACATGCAACCCACATTGACACATTGGGAAGGGGGAGAAATCGTATAACGAAACCTATGCGTGGTCATCCACATACTAGGAATAATCCTAAGGGATTCATACTTCTTTCACCTGGGCCAACGGGATACCAATTCAACTTGCATGCGATATATAAGACTCATTTATCCTACGAACGGTACCCGAAACATCAAACTAGACTTAGGCACGATAAACGAAGTCCGTTGGGACACCACGGGCGTCGGGGGAACATCAAACGAGGAGGCCGGGATCCTGATGTGGGGTAATTTCCAGCGGGTAGCCGGTGGGTGAGGGGTCACCCGCCGGCTGCCCGCCCGGTGGCAGACTTCCGGGCAGCGGGTGCCCGGCGGGCAGTCGGGCTGCCGGCGGCATCCATCCTGGCCGCGAGTAGGTGGCGGGTCCCCTACCCCCACCTACACCCCACTGACTCTTTTTCACCAATAACGCCCCGGGAACCTATGTGGAACCCGAAACCATGCTTAGACACTTTAAAACGCAATTGATGGCAACACGTAGACATTTAACAGATCAAAAGCGAGAAAGATACGGCACATATCCTATCATGCTTTCTAAACATAATTAACACCCCAAACATGCGAATTCCCACCCAACACATTAAGAATAACATCATACGAGTTTCACGTTGCATCCTAGGGCTCTAATCACAATTAAATCATCAAGAACGTAACCCATCTTTTAATCATCAAGGAACAATACAATTTATCAAGAATATCTCATAATCGTCAAGAATCTGAATTCCCCAAGAATATCACACAATCATCAAGAAACCCTTTTCATCATCAAGATTATCAAGATAAAACCATATCACCAATTATCAAGATCACATCATCAATATAAACAATTCATCAAAACACAAGAATATAGAGGGATGCCTAAGAGGGAGATCATAGCTAAGAAAATAGGTTTTGTTGAGACATGGGTTACCTCTTAGCCTTTAATTAATCCCTTGGCTATGAAGGGTCTTTCTTTAAGCTTTCTTCTTTCTTGATTTCTCCTAAGGGAATTCTTGGAACTTCTTGTGTGGTGAGGGATTATTGTGGTGGGGGTCCTAGGTGCCTCCAATGTTCCCCTATTTATATATTTAAGAGTCCAAATTAGGGCCCAAATACTATAGGCTTGCTAACTATATTCCTTTTAGGACTAGGGATTGGGTTTAGAGATGAGGGCCCACGGACTATGGTGGGCCTTTTCCTAATTAATTATTGTAATTTAATTCTTTTTTTGGGTAATTGGTTAAGTGATTAATTGGTTTTAGGGATCGTAACACGGGGTGTTACAATAGTATTGATCATATTTTGAGGGGTATGAGCTTCTCTAGTTTGTTTTCCAGCTTGACATGCACCGCGTACTCCGGCTGTTTCTACCTTGATGTTGGGTAGACCTCTTACACCCTCAATCTTGATTAGCTTTTCCAGAGAGCGATAATTTAAGTGACCCATTTTTTGATGCCATAATTTTGATTCTTTTATGCTGGACCTGTAACAAAAGGAATCGTTGGTAAGTATATAGCAATTATCAGAAGAGCGTTTACCTTCCATGACGCAGTTTTTTTGATAGTCTGTAACATTGCAGCTGTCCTTGGTGAAGCAGACTTTCTATTCCTGATCACATAATTGGCTTATGCTTATAAGATTTGCATGAAGGCCTTTGACCAGAAGAACTTGTTTTAGTTTGGGTAGCCCTGTGACATTTAGAGTACCAATTCTAGTGATCTTTCCCTTAACTCCGTCGCCGAAAGTCACTTCTCCTGTACTTCCTTTTATATTGTTTAGGAACTTAGCATCTCCTGTCATATAAAGTGAACACCCACTATCAAAGTACCATCTTTCTTTTCTGTTAGTACTTGTAGAGTGGAAGGAGACATTGCAGACGAAATCACTTTTCTTCACCCAGATTTGCTCAACAAATGGGGTGATAGACTTTTTGGTGTATTTCTCAACACGTTGGTCGTTGTAGAAATAGAAGCACTCTGGTTTCGTATGTCCACGTACCCTGCAATAATGACATATAGGATTATAAACTCTAATCTCGGTAGCCTTTTTACTTGGAGCAAATTTGACTTGACGTTGAGCTGTACTACTTTCTGGACTATCTTGATCTGCTCCAGTGACTGAATCCGGGCTTGTGGCTTTGACGAAAACTGTGGCAGCTTTATCCTTTCCTCCTGAGTATCCTAACCCATACTTCGTGGATGCCTTTCGACCAAAATCCAAAATTTGGTCTAAGGTGGATGTGTTATCCATCATTTTTATCTTGCGTTTGAGTTGCTCCAGCTCATTTTTGAGTTCTTCCAGCTCATGTTTGAGAGTTTCTTCTTTCTTGTGATTAGCTTCAATGATGCTGTCCCTGTCAGATATTTTAGATAGATACACCTTTTTGGCATTTTCTAGGATGCTAACCTGACTGGACAAAGATCTATTAACTTTTACAATAATTTCCCATTTAGCATACAATTTCCTATATTCTACTTCAAACGAAGGAGCAGGAAAATCTTGATCTTCTGATGACACATACTCTTCAATTTCAGATTCTTCACCAGTTATCGAGTCAGGCACAGTAGTAGTGAGGGCTGTGAAGGCAACAAAGTTCCCCGAGATCTCATCTGGATGAGATCCTGGATCAGTTTCTGGTTCATCATCATCACTCCAGGTAAGAGCGACTTTCATCGACTTCTTCTGTCTTAGGTAGGTTGGACATTCAGCTTGCACATGACCATATCCTTCACATCCATAACACTTGATCCCTTTGCCTCCGGTTTTTCTTTGGATTGAGAGTTTTTTATGTGCCTGATTGTTGGTTGGACGAGTTTGATTTTTGATTTTTGATTGTTCCGAATAGCACTCGACCCCGATCCTTTTTTACTTTGAAACTTGCCAAATTTTCCAGTTTGTCGTTGTTTTACCTGTTGCAACAATTTAGAAAAACCTTTAGTTAAGAAAACTACTGGATCATCACTTACCTCATCTGGATCAGAAACTGCTCCAGCGTCTTCGACAGAGAAAGCTACGGTTTTTCCTTTTGTTTCAGGGCCGCCTAAAATTTCCATCTCATAGGTTTGTAGACTTCCCATCAATTTCTGTACAGTTTTCTTTTACCATCCATCGTGCTCCTGAATAGCTGTAACTTTCATGCGAAACCTTGGAGGGAGTGAGCGAAGAATCTTTTTAACAAGTCTTTCTTGAGTGATTGGCTTGCCTAAGATGCTTGCCCTATTGGCTAGTTCTTGCACCCGAGCATGAAAATCCACTATAGTTTCATCATCTTTCATCTTTAGATCTTCAAAGTCTGTTTGAACCATTTGTAGTTTGGATTGTTTAACCGATGCGGTTCCTTCATAGGTAGTTTCTAAGGCATCCAAAGCTTCTTTAGCCGAATCACACCCTGCAACAATAGTAAACTGACTTTCATGCATTAAAGAGAAAATAGTATCTAAAGCTTTATGATTGTAGCCGGCGGTAGTCATCTCAGTCTCTGTCCATTCTTCCTCTGGTTTGAAGGCTGGAGGATCTCCTGTATTGTCTCCATCTTTGGTAGGATGAGACCAACCAGTGAGAACAGCCCTCCAGACCTTCTCCCCTTGAGCTCGTAGATGCATTTTGGTGCGGCCCTTCCAGTACGCATAGTTGTCACCTGTTAGTTCAGGAGGTGCTCTATGTCGTTCCATGCTGTAAGACTCAATGCACAGTGAGCAACAAGTAAACCAGGCAAGCAGAAATAAAAAACAGATACTGAGATCTTGAGTTCAAAAAACACGTGATAGCCAGATCGGTTAGACTAGTAATTTAAGTCCCCAAGCTCTGATACCAATTGAAAAAGAACGTGAGTCTTGAATGCAAGATTTAGCTTAAGAAATTAATTTTATTTCAATTATAAAGCTGGACTAGATGCAATCTTATTCCAGATATAATAAAGAACATAAAATAAATAGTAATAAAGGAAAGCATGCACCAAGATATGTTCACGCAGTTCGGAGCCTCACTCCTACGTCTGCGGGGCCACTCACATCAACCCAAATCCACTATGATAAAAATGGAGTACAAGAGGAGAGTTAATTACACACTAGAGTATAACCTATAACTACTCCAGTGGATCCGATGTGCAGGCAATCTTCATTGCTTCATGATCTGATTACGAGCCATTCTTCACACTCAACAGTACAGTATATATTTGGTATAGATGAACCAAGACTTTCAGAGTAAAACAATGTGAAAGAGTGCGTGAGTGAACGCTAATCAAAGTAGCATTTTATATAGGTAGTAAAGGATCCTTTGATCCTCAAAACAAGCACTCTTCCCATCCTTGATTTCGACTGCTCCAGTAGATTTAGATCTCCCCTTAAATAGGGTCTTGAATAAATAATTTGAATAAGCTTCATACCTCCTAAATTACTTTCTTGCGCTGATCCAGTCAACTACTCCAAACACTATGACTAGTCCAGCAACTAATCCAGAACTACTTTGACAACTAATCTAAACCAATATTATGAGGTTTAAATGTGCAACATATTTACACTTACAAAAAGCAAATTCAATCACAAATAAACAAATCAAATAAAATATTTTTGATTACCAAATCACCCCCATGTTTGGCTATTAGTCTTGTTTGTTTTCCACAAAATTACAAGATTTGGTACAAAATAAACTAAAAGTCATTCTCCACAACTTCAAATATGTCATTCTAACTCAATTGGAGAGGACTTGTCAGTTTTGAACTTCATAAGGTTGGAAGACCTTATCATGTATTTCTTTGCCACCTTAGTTCTTGACTTAGTGAGTCCAATTGACTTTTGTCCCTTTGATTTGGGCAGAGGTTGAACTTTCTTGTGTTTTTTTTTTCTTTTTTTTTTTTTTTTTTTTTTTTTTTGCCAGGGATGTATTACAAGTGTCAGCAACATTGATCCTGACTCGCCCTACTTCTCCTTCATTTCCATTATGTTGTGTTGTGTTATCCATTTCCTCAAACTCTAATTGACCTATACAAATTATCAAAACAGTGTAAGTAGTCTCAACTGACAGTTCCTGAACATTGCTTTGACAATATACCAATGACCTATATATAAATGAACACAAATGACCTATATAAATTTAAAACAACTAACAAGAAATACCTAATGGTGTGATCTCTATTTAACTAGTCTCAACTGGCAGTTCCTGAACATTACTTTGACAATTTCCAATAATATTGTCTCCAATATTGAGTAATGGATCAACTATAGAGTAATAAATGAACCAATTAGTAAATATAATGGAAGTTTGATTGCATATGTCCTATTAAAATGGAAGTATGTAATTACCTCTAAATATTTGAAAACCTATATTTGGAATTCCTTGGACTGGACAGTCAAATAGTCTAAGTAGCTCATCATCTTCAGCACTGTCAAATGGTTGGGTATTAACTGGAATTTCTTCTGCCACAACATCTTTCTAGTACCAAAATTAATAGAATGCACTACATATCTGTAACTGAAATTTTAAATTAAATAGGTTGTATAAATTACCTGGTCTGCATTTGCATTATCTATTTGGTTGAGTATTAACTGGAATTTCTTCTGCTACAGCCTCTCTCTAGTACCAAAATCAATAGAATTAATTAGAGATCTCTAACTGAAATTATAAATTAACATGTTGTATAAATTAGATGGTCTGCATCTGCATTGTGTGATTTTTTATGACACCTTCTGGTATTATGGCCTTTTTGTTTGCATTTTGAACAGTGAAGACTGACAAGCTTTCTAGACAGATGAATTTCATCACTTTTTGATTCATCAGTAGATTTCATCCTGAGCTTCTTTGGCCTCCCTACTTTGGCAGTGAAAAGAGGTGGAAGTGGAGGTTGTCTGTCACTAATTGGCTAGTCATGAGACCCAGCCATTGGTTGAATAGAACTATCATATGTCTTCAAATATGTTTCAATCTTGTAACAGGAATCCACATAGTCATACACTGATAACTCTTTCACCCAATAGCAGGAATCCCAACATATGTCTTTGATAAGCCCAATATCCTCTTGCTTGTTTTTCAAACACTTCTATTTTTTTTTTTTTTGTTATGACTACATAGAGCATTCCTAACCAGTTACTAGCTTGTTTTCTGCACTCAAACAACCTAATCATCACTTGTTTTTTCAGAATCTCAAGGCAGTTAATCATTGGACTATCCCTTGCATCCAATATCATTGCATTGAAGCATTCGCAGATATTGTTTACAAGCATATCACACTTTGGAGTTGGGGAGAAATTAGACCTAGTCCACTATGTAAGATGTTTGTCACCTAACCAACTAAAAGCATCAATACCCAATGCTTTTAGCTCAGTCATTGCTTTAGTGAAACTAGTGATAGTTGTGGCCCTAGCTGCTTTCCAAAGTGCATCCTTAATTGGATGCCACCAAATCCTGCAACTTTCATGTTAGCATGGAGGTGTCTAACACAATACATATGGCTTACCATAGGTAACAACTCTTCAAAAGCTGGAACAAGATCTTTTTGCTTGTCATATATAAATGTGTAATCTTCTTCACCAGCAAAACCCAACATAAGGTCCCTTTTCAACAGCTCTAAAAACCAGCACCATGAGTTTTTAGTTTCTCCTTCTACAATGGCATAGGCAATTGGAAATATGCCTTCATTACCATCAACACCAATTACAGTCAGTAGAATCCCTCCAACTTTACCCTTAAGATGACAACCATCAACCCCAATGATTGGTCTACAATACTTAAACCTTTCCTTACATGCATCCCAACATAAGTACATTCTCATAAATCTCCTCTTACCCCCTTCATAGGTCAAATCAAACGGCTTCACAACACAAGTAGTGTTTGGATTTATTTTTTTTATTTTTTTCCAATTTCCATACAATATATCCAAATTTTGTTAAAATTTTCCTCTATTTCCCCCTTGATTTCACTTCTTAGCCTTGATCATTACTTTGAAAGCTTGTCTTTTACTTAGGCCAATATGGTCTTCAGTGCAAACCTTTTCCCTAAACTCCCTAAGCGTCTAATTACTGTTCCCACCTATTACATTTTTCTATCTTTTTCCACTAGCCCCATCATCTGAAAGATTTACTGCATTATCATTTTGGATTGTCTTACCTTGCTTTTCAGCCTCAACATTTGTAGGAACTTCAACCCCTCCACATTCAACCTGGGATCAACATGCTTCACAAAATCTTGGTCATCAGCCTTGTCATTTTCATATTCACTTCCCTCAAACTCCTCTAACTCATCATTTGCAGAATACCCTTTTTTTTCTAGGGATGGCAACGGGACGGGACGGGGAGCGGGAAATGGGATCCCCGTCCCCGGCCCTGAAATAGCTCCCCGTTCCCCGGCGGGGATTTTTCAAGGACGGGAATCCCTGCCCGTTTTTTGAATTATACCAATACCAATGAAAAAAAGACTAATATTATCAAAATTTTAAATTGTTAAGTTTTGAATCCTTAAACATACCTACATAACAAAACAAAATGAACTTCAAATCTTCGATCATACAACTCAAGAAAACTGCTAAGCACATGAAAGTCCATATTAAATTAAACCTCAACTTATTGCCCAAATTATTGAGTCAACATAATCATGAATGATATCTTTATGAATTAATATTTAATCCCCTTGCAAAATGAATTCCTTTGGGTGCACCATTGCTCATCACAGAGAATAAGCATGACCAATGCTATAAACTTATAGGGTTAACAGGCTATGAGAATAAAGATTTTGAATCTTTTGTTTTTAAGGTTTTTTTTTTTTATTAATGCCAAGCACCTTGTGCTCAAATGGCATGTAGTGACCTCTCCCATGTGGAAAGTCATGAAATCGAGTCTCAGTGGAGGCGTTGTTGACTCTTTGTGCTTTTCATTAGGTTGAGAAAGTATGTTTGAACAGATACTACAATGTAATAGAGTCAATAGCATTCAAAAAAAAGTTTTTTTTATTAATATTATATATAATATTATACGGGAAATCGGGGATGGGGTCGAGGGGGGAATTCCCTCCTCGTCCCCGTCTGTAATACCCCATATTTTCAAGATCTTTAAAAATTATAAAATAAAGGTGAAATCTCATTAAATCCCAAACAGAGTACGAGAGTACGGGGTGCTATGCCACACCTGAGTTAGAGAACTCAGGTGCACAGGCTAACTAACTAGTGTCTCAATAATATAAATGCATAAACATGGCACGCAGGCCGAAAGGGAAGCTAACTACTTCTACGTTCCAAGCTCTAGCGCACTCGAGTGACTTATTCTTCTGTGCCTGAAAGCCAAATATATCTGTTCAGCGAGAGATGCTGGTAACCCACTCCAACGCGTTGAAATACAATACATATATACATATATACATAGGTATACGAAAAGTCATTTCGAAGCATGAAGATATATCCTACGAGACTCTAGTTTTCAAATCAGGGAACCGACTCGACAGATAGGGATACACACAATCAGTAGTCATAATCAAGCATGAACAATTCTCACATAGGGAACAGTTATAGATAAGCACAACCAATGATCACAAATAAGCATTACTAGTAAGAGTCCTATGGTCACGTTTCCATAACAGTCACATCATCAATTCTTCTCGTCATGTCACATAGCACACTTTGTTGGCGCCACAGGACCAATCGCATGCCCATACATGAGGCTCAGCGCATATAGCTCTGACACGGCCCCGCAGCACCCTGCCCCGTCTCACATTACGGAGGAGCCGATCGCAACCGACTAATGAACCGCAGTTCTATATAATATTTATATACCTGACCGGTCTTTACCAGCCTGGTTAACAGTTGGGATGGTTCTCAGCCCATTCAACTGCCCGTATAGTGGACCTTTGTCCTATATAATATTTATATACCTGACCGGTCTTTACCAGCCTGGTTAACAGCCGGTATGGTTCTCAGCCCATCCGACTGCCCGTATAGTGGAACTTAGTCCTATATAATATTTATATACCTGACCGGTCTTTACCAGCCTGGTTAACAGCCGGTATGGTTCTCAGCTCATCCGACTGCCCGTATAGCCCGATTGATCTCAACCAAATCGGGGGTAACATGCACACATAACACTTAGCAAGCACATGCAGCCCATATTAGCACACTGGGAAGGGGGGAAAACGTATAACGAAACCTATGCGTGGTCATCCACAACTAGGAATATTCCTAAGGGGTTCATACTTCTCATACCTGGGTCAACGGGATACCAATTCAACTAGCATGCAATATATAAGACTCATACAACCTACGAACGGTACCCGAAACATCAAACTAGACATAGGCACGATAGACGGAGTCCGTTGGGACACCACGGGGATCGGGGAAACATCAAACGGGGAAGCCGGGGTCCCGAGTGTGGGAATTTCCAGCGGTTCTCCATCCAATTGTTGTTCAGCGCTCGGTAATTGACTTTCCTCCTTTACCTGCCACTAATCCCCTTTCTCACAATACAGTCAACTTCATAGGTTTAAGTTCCACCCATATATCCATTGGGAGGAATGTCGAAAATGTGGTGAACTCGATCAGCGGGGTACACATTTGCATTGAAAACCGTTTATTCAATGTGTGATGCGAATCCGTTCCAAGATAGCATGGAGATGGAAATTCTTCAAACCCTTGACCATGCACCCAAACATAGTTAGGACGATGGGGTTCAAGAAGTACACTGAGAATGGTATCATTCACATCCTTCTTGAATTTTTGCATAAAAATATCTTGGGAAAGCATTTCCCAGATGAAGTACCCTCGCATGGGTAACTCAACAACTTGTATCATCCTTGAAATAAATTTATAACAAAAAAAAAAGTCCACCTGGTATTCAACCAAAGAGTATTCTCCGTAATAGTAAAGGCGTCACCAAAGTAGCCAGTTTCGAAAATTCGCAATTCATTAAAGACTGCGTAAGGAGAATAATCATCATCTGAAGAAGTTGGGAGGAAGTACTTGACTCCCGATGAACTAGAAGCAGATCGCCTCTATAGGGGACTACAACACCCGTATGCCTCAGAGAATGGGCACTAGGAATGCTAGTTTGGGAGTTATACCACGACACATATCCAATGTCCTGCGACTTCAACAACAATTTGGCTGAAGTCAAGACTACAATCTGCAATGCCCTCCCATTGGAGTTGCCAGGGCTTCACTGAAGTTGCGGAATTTTCTCCAAAGTTGTCTACGTATAAACCCAGACAAAGGAGCATAACTGTCGATCTATTATAACATAGTTTCATTGGTAAGAAAAAATAGGAACGGAGGTACTCAACAATAAGGACATTCAGCAATATTAGAAGACATTTTTCCTTTTGAAAGATATTGAAAAGAAATTTTGTAATTTTTTTATAGAGTTTTTAAAATAAATTTTGTAAGTGTTATAAATTAGGATGTTTCTTCATGCAAATTGTACGTTCAAAACCATACAAAAAGCAAGTAAGGTGAACTCAGGAAACGCAGGGGACTAATTTCATTAGATAACCGATGTTATATATACATATACAAAGTAGGAAAACTGTAATGAAAGTGCTTTCATCAAAGTAGGATAATGGCCATAAAGACCCAATATTTACAACACTCCCCCTTGGCCATCTTACTGTATTCATGCCTTATTAAAAACCTTGCTAGGAAAATTCTGTAGGAAAAATCTAGTCGAGGAAAAAATACATGAGGTAATTTTAATATATGTGTTATACAGGGTTACCTCATTAAAAACATTAGGCTAAGAAAATCCAGTGGGAAAAAACTTAGCTAAGGAAAAGAATACAACTATAAATCAATCATAAACTTTTAGGGCATAATATTTAGGATTTCAGGGTTTGCGACTCTCCCCCTTTGACGTCACTATATCACACTCATGCCTCGTTAAAAACCTTACTAGAAAAATCCAGTGGAAAAAAACCTGATGAGGAAAAGAGTACATGATGTGTTCTCATGTGTTGCACTAGCTACCTCATTAAACAAACTTTAATTAAGAGACTTATATCAAAACACAATCAAATTAAAGAAAATGAGTACAACTGTTGTCTTCAGGACACAATCTTCCAGATTAATTCAAGTAAATGTCACTCCCCTAAAGATAACAATCTTCAAAGTCTACACGTTTTAATATCATAAAACATTGTTCCAAGATAAGTGTAGAAGAGAAATATAGTACAATCTCCAAGATTGTCACTAGAGTGAACATTCTGTATAAGATCCTCGTGACTCTTTTGGAGCTCACATGTGTTGCATCTTGACAATATATATACTCTTTCAAATATTCTTAAACATACCCATTTATTATTCGTGCAACACAAGCTTTATTGTTCACATATAGGAAAGTGTGGGTAAAACAAAACATAACCAGTTTGGGACTTGGCATTATGGGGATCAAATAAAAACAACCAGTACCAAAATAGCCCATTGAAAAAACCATATTTTGGTTTCTCATAGTGATGCCAAAATCCTTGTAACTCGAAGATACTGAGGGATATGTTAAATACCATTCCAAAATTTCATTTTTGAAGGAGCACTAAATGTTGCTAGCAATTTCATCACAGACACAATATCAGGCCTGATGCGATTATAGAACTTCTGGTCCTAAATTCGTGCTCCAATGACAATGAAGTAATGGGCTTTTGGTCCCAAAGTATTCTCATTATCTTCTTCGAGTCTAAATGGTTCATTATCTACTTGGTGATAGGATAACCATTAGTGCGATAAGTAAAAGATACTTATCTATTTAAAACATCTTGAAGACATTTTTCAATCTAGGCTAACTGGTGTGAAAAATTCCCTCAAGGAAAAGCTCAATCTTCAAGTCGAGATAATACTTGAGTTTCCCAGTCTTCATTTCAAACTCCGTCTTTAAGCATGATCTAATATCATTAAGCTCTTTATACATTCAATCGTACTTACACAATCGACATAGACTGAGATAATAAATAAATAACTCCATTAGCAACTTTCTAACAAGCACATATTTATATTTACATATTCCTACTTCAGGAGGAAATTGTACATTCACTTGCTTACTACTACAAGTCAAGTAAAGCCTTTGTAATTCAACAAAATACATTGCAATTTTCATTTCTTTTCTCATTCTAAGAATTACAAATCCGTCAAGGATTTTTCCAAATAAAAATTAGCGTTTAATGACCTACAATTATGTGGTCATGACGTCCATCAACTACATATCTAAATTTATTATTATTATTCTGCCAATGATATTATGTAGCAGAACTTAATGTCATCTATCTTGGGAGACTATATTTGATCAAAATCAATCAAGGGTCTCTGCGTGAACCCGAGACTACAAAGCTCGCTTTAGATCACACCATCTCATTATTCTCGTTTCTCTTTCGTACAATCACCCATTTGTAACCTACAGGTTAACATTCAATGGTGTACATATTTATAAAGAAAATACATTTACCAGCGAGTTGAGCTATGTATGCCTTAATTGATCCTTTATACATTAAACAGTCATGGCACTACTAGTGCCTAGCTCTAGATCCAGATTATCATATAATGAGAGCAATTTGTAAAGGTAATTGTGTTGTCGACAACTATAAGATTTTATCATAAATATCTCCCATATTTATAAAAGTAATGACAATTTCTAAAACAACCAAATTCTAGACATTTCCCAAAAATATTTAGATCTGGTCGTTCCACACCCCTAGTATGATTATTCCGTGCACCTATAAGTTTACTGGGGTTTTCGACATCTGGACGAACATCTTCAGGACATGATTCTTTAAGATATTTCAATAGTGACAATGTTTCTTTACTATATCTAGTATTATGATTCTTATCTCTTACACCGATATATCTCCTACACTTCCGGCGTCAAGGAGTATCGATAGATATATTTGGTCTAAGTTGGGGATTATATATGTGACCTAGTGACTCTTTTTTTTATCAACATGATCAATAGATATATTTGGCAGATTATTTGCTAATGTCGCAAATAGATTATCTTCTGAACTTTTAGTTCAGTATAACTAGTATGTGGATTTCTTAACTAATGAAGATCTTTCCATTCCATGTAACTTCTCGGCATTTCATTAAACTATTTGGACTCATATCTCCCCCTAATGCTGTGAACCAATCTTCATAAAGTATGCAGTAAGTGTATCTATTGATCCCCTATTAAGGTCTCTAGGTATTTAGAAAACAGACCAAGGTTTATAAACAACATTTATACCCAACTTCATTTGATAGCCGTTAAAGATACGCTATGGTAGTGATACAGTAAAATAGACTGCATACTAAGGATAGAAAAATAGATTGGGAAAAATTCAATACTACCACATACTAGGTGTATAGAGGACTAATTTGGATATGCAGTGAGTCAGATTTAGATTTAATACAGAAGTATATCATGTTCGATGTCCCCAAAAAAGATAATTTAGTAATTTGTCCTTCACACATGCTTTATAAAATACTCATGTGGATAAGAAATTCTAATATTTGACTCATTATGTTTGCCTAAGTAACCCAATTACTCATGCCCTAATTTAAAAGAATTTGGGTGTTTAAAATTTTAAAAGAATCGCAACATATGAAGTACTCATAAGTATTTGCACATATGTTCAAATAGAGAAAGCATACACATTAAATGAAAGTATAAGAGTACTCAACCATCTTATGGAGGTTTAAATGCCAAATAGATGTATAGATGGTGAGACCATTTAGGATCTCAAAAATCCATCTTCTCAACTTATGAGGAGCTATCGCATCATTAAATATTCATAACTTATTTGCTTCAGGCAAACCAACATGATATGATTCACTTCAGGTTTTCAAGCACATAACATTTGTTGCAGAGTAGCATAGCACAAAAAATAGAAGTTGCAGACTTCATTCATGAATCATGAGTCATTAGTCACCCAAAGATTTATCACCAGACCTTATGAGAAAAGCATTTAATGACCCGGTACATTGTCAAATAGGGAACGTTTAGAACTTAGATAGTATATTCCCACAAAAACATGATATCTTTCAAAAACATTGACACCCAAAATACTTAGTATAATGTTGTCATATAGTACTACTGGAGTACAATATAACTACCCGCACGGACTTAGCTCAATGATTTAGTGGGCAGTATTTAGAAAAAAAGACTAAGTGGAGAAGTACAATATGTCTACCATAAAAGACAATGAGACTCATATGATTTTTCTATGTACTTTTACTAGAGTACTAGGTGACTATCTAATATAGTTTCACTTATCAAATAATACTACATTATACTGGTCATATTCAGAGACAGATTCAACATCCTGAAATCTCATATTTAATGAATATGATATTATAACAATTTATTAATTATAGCAATCCTTCCGGGATTGACTTAGGGTCTATGAATACTTTTCGATCAAACATTCATAATCGATATTATAGTCTAAAGAGTGACATATAAAATTACTGTTTTTAGTTTACCTTTTGGGCAAAACTATATTTAAAAATGAGCACTATTATTTTGTTTAAATACTCAAATTTGTGATTTATTTCAATGCCCAAGACTCATGTGAAATAATTTCTATAACAGATTATTTTTAGGCAATGCTATGTTTAAAATCCATGCTATAACCACTTGTTGATCAAAGCAATCCTTTAGGGACTATCATATAATACGTATATAAATCAATGGCTTTAACTTTCCATCCGGGTAAAGCTCCAATTAGGGTTTATAATAAATCTTAACATATATGGCCTATAGCAAGTAATTGTTATGTCACATTTTATTTTATGATGTACACATAGACATATTACATAAGGGAGTAAATTGTGACACACACAAAAAAAAAAAAAAAAAAAAAAAAAAAAAAAAAATTATCATGTGATAATCAGTGCACTCACTGCACAATGTATGTGGTGATCACATAAAAAAAATGTGTCATAACATTATATATTTCAATTAAGCTCTCAAAATCTAGGAATCAACTGGATGCAATTGATATGATATTATTATCTTAATTCTTAAATAGTAGGCACAATCAAAATTATCTACAAAGATAATCACTCGCGTAAGTTCAAGTAATCTATGCCATTTACCACATTCAATTTTATAATTTGACATGATATAACAACATTATGCAATATAAGTATATTACCTGATCAAAATTATCTACAAAGATAATCACTCGCGTAAGTTCAAGTAATCTATGCCATTTACCACATTCAATTTTATAATTTGACATGGTATAACAACATTATGCAATATAAGTATATTACCTGATAATAATAATAATAATAATAATAATAATAATAATAAAATAATAATAACAATAACAATAACAATAACAATAACAATAACAATAACAATAATAATAATAATAATAATAATAATTAGTAATAATTAGTAATAAATAGTAATAATAATAATAAATAGTAATAGTAATAATAGTAATAATAGTAATAATAGTAGTAATAGTAATAATAGTAGTAATAGTAATAATAGTAATAGTAATAATAGCACATTGTAGCACATAACACACTGTAGCACATATATAATAGCACATTGGGAAGGGGGATATGCATAAACAAACTTACATGTGATCATTCACATACTAAGGGTCCTAGGGGGTTCATACAACTTCTACCTAGGTCAACGGGTTACCGATTCAACTAGCATGCAATTCCTAAGACTCTTTTATCCTACGAATGGCACCCGAAACATCAAACTAGACTCAAGCACGACAAACGGGGTCCGTTGGGACACCACGAGGAATGGGGAACATCAAACGGGGAAGCCAAAGACCCGGGGTGGGTGACAAACCAGCGGGTAGCCGGTGGGTGGAGGGCCACCCGCCGGCTGCCCGTCGGCGACGAGTTTTCGGGCAGCGGGTGCCCGGCGGGCAGTCGCCTGCCCGCCGGCTGCCCGCTGCCGGTGATGCTCTTTGGGACAGCGGGTAGGTGGCGGGTTCCCCTACCCCCCCACTGATTCCTTAACACAACAAACGTCCCGGGATCCTCCGTGGAACCCGAGACCATGCTTAGACACTTTTAAACGCAAATAACGACACCACGTAGGCAATTAATGGATCAAAAGCAAGAATCATATTGAACACATCCTAACATGACTTCTAAACATAAACAACACCTAAACATGTGAATCTCCACCCAAATATAAATCAAGAACATCTCAATACAAATTCCCAACCCTACCTAGGGCTCTAATCCCATCCCTATCATCAAGATCATATTTTATCTCTATCATCAAGAAACATCAGGATTTATCAAGAACCATCACATAAATATCAAGAACTTCTTTTTAACACCAAGATCATCAAGATCACTCATATAGTCATCACATCAATCAATCAAGATTATATCACCAATATCATAAAGAAATTCATCAAGACACAAGTATATAGAGGGAGCCAAAGAATGAGATTATAGCAAGGAAAATAGGTTTTGTTGAGACATGGGTTACCTCTTAGCCTTAATTAATCTTTCCTTGGCTATTAAGGTTCTTCTCTAAGATTTTCATCTGCTTGATCTCCCTAGGCTCGGTGGCGGGGAATCTCCTGGGAATATTTTCGTGTAATATAATTATGGGTGGTAAGGTTTCTAATTGCTTTCTAATCCCCTATTTATAGAATTAGGAATCCTAATCATAATCTGAATAATAAAGGCCTTCTTTCTTTATTCCTAATAGATATATAGGTCTAGGATTCCTAATTAGAGTCTGACTAGTAAAAGGTTTACCCTCTTTATTTCTAATGGGCTAAAACTCTAGTTTAGGCAAGGGTCCACAATCCATGGTGGACCACATTAATTAATTAAAGTGAATCCTAATCAAATTAGATCCATTTTAATTATCATTAACGGAATTAATTAATTAAATAATTAATTCAGGATTGAAGACCGTAACACGGGGTGTTACACAAAAACACACGGAAATTCACCTCCTGCATCTAGACCAAGTCAACCACCTTCCTCAAGATCTCGTCCTCCTTCCAGCACTTGACCTTTCTACTCGTTCAAGGGCTACAGTCAGAGAGAAAAGAAAAATCTTCGTAAAAAATGGATGCACGACAGATCAATAACAATGGATGCAGTAGGAAACTTGCTTCGCTATGAGGAGTATGAAGAAGGAAGTGGGAAGAGGTTTGAAGGTTACAACTTGCCCATCTGGCTAAAGAGAACGGATAATCAAGCAAGACAGGATTATCAAAGAGCCATAAACGAGGAAATAAGAAAAGCAAACGAAAGACATCATCTTGAAGAGGAAGAAGCCCGAAAAGAGAAAGAACAAGATCTTATCCACTTCCAAGAAGTTCAGGAAAAGATAAAGGATCTTCAAACCATTGGAAGAGATGCTGATGTAGTTGCTAAGCACAGTGCCATGTTCAAGATCCATGAAGAATCAAGCAAGAGTTATATAGACGGAATGAATTCGATTGAACTCGTGATCTGGTGGAATGATAAAATTGTTCCTGGTCGAAACATACTCAAAGCCTACAACAACTACATGAACTACATCATGGCTGTCAAATACGCAGAACTGGTCCGAACCAATGACATCCGAACCTTCAGAATGTTAATCAATGATGAGCTTGATATCATGAAAATGCTCAAAGATCAGAAGATTCAGGAAGAAGAAGACCGAAAGAAAGAAGCCTCGCAGAAAGAAAAAATACTGAATATGTAAATGTTTCATTCCTTTTTGCAAACTTTTTATCATGAATGAAATCTATCTTTTTGCAGGTTGCGTTGGGTCTTTTATTTTATATACATAGATTTCTCTTGTAAACTCAACCATTTTGCTGCTTTGTAATGAAAATCCGTTTATGGATAATTTCAGCCTTATTATATTGCAAGAATCCTGCTTTGTCTCTATACTCATTATAAACTACGAACAAATCTATGAATTTGATAAACTTTGCCTTTTTCTTTTGAAATTTGTTGAGCCACTTTTCAACATACATTCGAGGAATATACATATGTATAAAAGTTCCCTAAAATTGTAAAAAAAACCATATGCATCAACTAAAATTTTAGAAGTACAAAATATTATGATTAAGACTATAGTAAAAAATAAAATAAAAAATA